ACGATCTTGGTGCATAAATAACGATTTTGACATGTTTTGATCAAAATCCACGTTTTCGCCAAAAATTCATCAAATTCATGTCTTGGGCATTGAGATAATGCGCCTAGTCTTTTTCCCAACGATCTTGGTGCATAAATAACGATTTTGACATGTTTTGATCAAAATCCACGTGGTCGCCAAAAATGCATCAAATTCATGTCTTGGGCATTGAGATAATGCGCTTAGTCTTTTTCCCAACGCTCTTGGTGCATAAATAACGATTTTGACATGTTTTGATCAAAATCCACGTGGTCGCCAAAAATGCATCAAATTCATGTCTTGGGCATTGAGATAATGCGCCTAGTTTTTTCCCAACGATCTTGGTGCATAAATACCGATTTTGACATGTTTTGATCAAAATCCATGTGGTCCATAAAAATAGATCAAATTCATGTTTAGATCATTGAGATAATGCTCTTGATCTTTTTCCCAACGATCTTGGTGCATAAATAACGATTTTGACATGTTTTGATCAAAATCCACGTTTTCGCCAAAAAATCATCAAATTCATGTCTTGGGCATTGAGATAATGCGCGTAGTCTTTTTCCCAACGATCTTGGTGCATAATTAACGATTTTGACATGTTTCGATCAAAATCCACGTGGTCGCCAAAAATGCATCAAATTCATGTCTTGGGCATTGAGATAATGCGCCTAGTCTTTTCCCAACGATCTTGGTGCATAATTAACGATTTTGACATATTTTGATCAAAATCCATGTGGCCTCAGAAAAATAATTTAACATTTTTGAATCACACACATGCGGTTATCAAACGTACACGTTATCAACTCTTTCAGCATCAAGATAATGCGTTTGAAAGCTTTTACAACTCTAAATTCATGTGTAAAGAATAATTTTGGGTACATTTTGCTCTAAAATTTTTGACCGAGACCACAGAGAAGAGTTATATTGAATTGTTACACATCTAAGAGTCATAGGGAATAATCTAGCGAAAGTCCGAACTCGATACATGACCTAGGGAATGAAATATGTTAATTTTTTTATTATATTGAGTTCGCAGTTTTTCCTGTTCCCGATTCACTCGAAGTCGTATAACTTTTGTTCCTGTTGAACCAGCTTCCTGAAAATCAATAGCGTCCGTTCTTAATGTCCAACGTACCCGTGTACCAAATTTCAACACAATCGGCCACTTTTAAAAAGAGTTAGAGCGCACACGGACGGACGGACGGACGGACGGACGGACGACAATACAAAACTATAAAGGATCTGAGGATCCTTAATAAACGGCAATAAGGAATGTGTAATGTAGACCATATTAGACGATTGCCGCAATTTTTTATCATGAGACCTTTGATACTACAAGTGAAATAAAATGACAGACAACATATCGTTTTCACGCTTTCGTCTCTGTAAGAGTAAGCTATGTACAAGACAACGTCAAATGTAAGGCTCCAATAGTAGTGGTTGCTATTGACAGCAGACTTTATAATTCCCTTAATCATTAGCGCGAAAAATGTAATAAGCAACACGGAGTGCAGTAGCTATTAACCTTCTTGGAAGAATAATCGCCTAATAATCGAAGAACATCGCCTCGGAATATTATAAACTTCCTCGCAGTTTAATGCGCTACTTACATTTCTTGTAGCTTAAATAACTATTAGCGACAGATGAGATGACATTTAATCTGTCCACTTCTTGTACAAGAACGATTCAACGATATCAGATGCATCGTGTCGTGGCCTTTAAAATATTAGGCGAAAAGGAATAACGTAATATATGTTCATAACTCAACGCATAGAATCTGTAGAGGTATATAGACTTTCCAAAATTTACTGAAACGTAGGTGGATAGGTAGGTGGCTCTAAATAATACCAAAATGACAGTTAGCCGATAATTTTAATTCGGGCCATAGAACAGGGAAGTTAGGTATTCTACAAAGAACTTCGCTTTAATAAATCTTTGCTTTGTAATCCCTACCAGCTTAATGCACGTATAGGTAATGTTTACAAACTGAAATTATCGTCTAAAGTCAGTGTTTGCAGTAAAAGTTCTCTGAGGATTCAAACTGTGTTTGTTGTAGAGTTATTAAGGATTCCCGGGTGGTTTAGGTACCAGACTTTTTTTCGAACTCATATTGGCGCTGCTGATATTTTACGTGTTTTTATTTCTTTATTTATTCTGAAAATATATACACAAAGTATAACAATTCTGTGCAAGAAAAGGACCAACAGCCATTTTTTTTAATTATAAATGTAGAATAACCAACTATTCGGAAAGAGGACAGCATTTTGCATTTCAGCCTTTGGCTGTTTGTATAATCACACAAACATGTTGTGTACTCCAAATATTCAGCAGAGCGTTTCCAAGTTTACACTTTAAGCAGTTATAATGTTATTGTATAAAAATTCCTTTAGATACTATTTACACATACATTCATTTTTATTATTCATATACTTATATACATATATTCTGGTTGTCTGCAGTATCATAAGTTATATATTTAATATCATTTCTTTAAAAAGCTATCTTTATTACTTCTTTTAGGCACACTTCAAATTTCTTTTGTAACAAACGCAGTGCTTAAACACTGTCGTTTATAATAAAGTACAATGTCTCCCTTGTAACCTTCACGTTGGCTAAAGCGTTAAAGTAAAAGGCGGCTATTGATGGCTAAATTCACTTTTAATAAAAAGAAGTAAAAGTTTACTGTAAGCAGGCAGCGTTTTATACTAAATGGATGAAATCCTTTTACTTGGAGTTGTTTAAGTGTAACAAACACTTTTACAAAGATATTTGAATACCAACTTCTGAGCGTAAACTATAAGCAATGCCCTTTTTTTCTTTTCTGAGCTACAGTTAACTTTACATTCCCACCCCATCAAATCGCGTCAAATCTTAGAACGCGGTAGAGTAACACACATTCGAAATTTTAGTTGTAAAGTTTTATGTGCGGACACTAAAAACTGGAATAATTCAAAACAGGGCAGTGGCAGGGATGCAGCTTGATTGTTTGTAATTGTAACGAGGGAATAATGAAGCTTTTATAGCCGAGGAATAAAAATACGCCGCCCACCCTAAAAACAAGTCATGCTGGAGGCAACATAACTTTACGCACGGATAAAGGTATTTTACTCAAAAAGCACACCTTTTCACTTACGTGTGCATGTCTGCAGTAGGTACTAGTACATCAAGCGTCCTAATTGTCGATATTTTCAAGGTAATTGTATGTCATAATGACAAATTTGACTTCCACTGGTACCTACAATGAACGAATTGGTACCTAAATAAGGAATAGGGATCCATCAAGTTTAAGAAATTTGACAATTCTAAGTAGTGAGTTAATTATAGTTTTATTCTTTATGACATAGGTACTATAGGGCGGCTATAAACGATCCTAAAAATGACGATTGTTATTATATAATTGGCAGTTTATTATATCCGCGCATAAGAGTTTTATGTTAGACACGACACTACATCGAAACCGCGACTGATGATCATACGCAACTATGTGAAAACCTTTTTTTTTAAATGACCGATGGTACGCGAACATATGAACTATACAACGGTGGATAGAACGGGTCGTCTCGTCATGGGTCCTTCCTTTGTGAAACGGGACTAACGCGGTTGTCAGTTAGGCCCATGTTGTGCAGTTGCTTGTTTAAACGACAATGAGCTGTGAGCATCTCCATCGCAAGTTCATCCATCCTACTTAACTTTAAGATGGACGCTGATAATTCCCCTTTTGAGATCTCCAGAAAGATCGTGAAGTGGTTCTGTCCTGGAATTTCCGACCAGTTATCGCAGTGCTCTTTAGTGAGTTTTGTTTAAATCTCCTTTTGGTTACGTGGCGCTATAATAATCCCCCCAAGTACGATCTTGAATTTGATAGAAATGGATAGAAGACACCTTAACGAAGCATCTTCAATAAAATATTGTAATAATTACTTAGTAAAAGCTGCACTTCCTATACATATGTAAAATAGTCACTTGTTTTCCGAATGGAGTTTTAACTGCCACGCTATTTAAAAATAACTTACAAATGAGTTTGAAGTAGTTTTGTAGAGCTTTCTTAAACAATTTCAACACAACACAAACACTGTGCAACTTGTAATTAGAATACTCAACTCATCGTAAATAAAACGAAAAAATTTAGCCTTAAAACGAATGCTTATCAACGGAGGGGTGGAAAGCAGTTTGATGAAATTTAAAAACAACCCCGAAAATAGATATGAAAGTTAAAATTTTGATTAGAATGCCAAATATTGACAGATGCTGTGTTCAACTCTAGAAGGTCTCCATCGAGGAAATTAGCGTGTGCTTTCGGTATTCCGGATACGAATTAATAAAAAATGCTGGGATTGTGGAGAGATTAACGCGTCATTTGTGGAATTTTTTCGTGTATGTAACCCTCAAACAAAAACACAGAAGGGTGAAATACAATAATTAAGGTAAAAAGGGAGGATTACTCGCTTAAGGATAATTATAGTGCGGAAAAAGTGGACTGTTGCTCGTATGTTACAAGCACAATTGATTTAACGTAAGATAATGGAAAAGTGATTCGCCTAGTTTTCGCCGAGGTTACCAGGAACACCAAGCAACTTACTTCGATTACGAATTACGTGTCTATTAAAACCGTTTTGTCAGAGGAGTTTCTTTTCCGTGTGTTTTCTTTCGACACATATGACATATCGCCTGAAACTTTTGAAGACTAACGGATAGGATAGTCATGCATTTAAAATAAATTTAACATGTATTTGATTTTATTCAATTGATTACGAAATTTTAAGAGCCGGTAACGTTATTTTCTGCCATTGGTTTAAGGCGCACCTAATTTTACTCTATTGAGCATACTAACATAGGCTTGGAGATATGTGACAATTTTAAGCCGTCAAGGCGCCAGGCGGTATGTTGTCAATTGCAATGATGGCTATAATTATTTTAATGAACAAATAATTAATTTGTGGTGTTGGATTAAACTGACACAATACTCTGTATTTTAGATGCAAGCAAAAAGACAGGTTCCTGATCGGTCTAGTTGGTCAAGTCCATCTGAAAGCCCATCACCACCTCCACCCCCATTACCCCCACCTACGATATCAAGATGGAACCGCGTGGAACAGAATGGCGAAGAATCGTGTCCTCATTGTCGGAGAAGACAGGCGTCACTGCCAACAGGCACAACATCGCTTAGTAGCTATTCTGCGTGCAAAGGTAAGGCCTTGTGTAATGGATGAAAGAGAACAATTCCACTTGGGAGTCAAATAGGCATTTAAAATACGCTGCAAGTTTTAATGATATCTGGAAACAGTTTCCGAACACCAAACCCGAACTTTGGCGTATTACAATATAAACAAATTTAAATATAGCAAATTGTCTGTGGAGCATTAATAGTTGATGTGGTTCAAGCTGTAAAAATTGTTATAGTTTGAAGATCCCTCCAGACAATTATATGTTTTCATTCTTTTACTTGTGAACTTATATTGTCTATTCCATCTATTCGATCCAAATTATACCTTTGCACGTTTTTATGCAATGCTATAGTGTTGAAGCTTGAAATTAAACGTATAATCTCCTGTTGTTTCAGAAAAAGCTTCACCAATTACTCGTCTTCCTGAGGATGAAGATTCTTTCCCAATGCTGTACGAAAGAGAACTCCATTCTCTTCACCGAAGCGTACCAGCTTTAAGACGAAGGGACGTTGACACCAATGCAATTAAGCAACATTATTACCCGGAAGGTATAGTTAAATCTTTAAAGGCAGTTTTGGACTGTCGCTTTGATACCAATGTATAATTTTACCCTATATTGAAGGGAAAAAACTATGAAAATCCTGCGTCTCCTATTTTTGTTTTTATGGTGGTAAATGATATATAATATGGTGTACCGACTCCTTTTCTAGATATTGATTATTTATACTCAAAGATTGCACCTAAGTTTTCCCACCTAGCGCTGGTGTTACCATCCACATTTGATGTGGTTCTGATACAATATGGGTATAATATTTTAATTTTAGGTGGTTGGGGTTGGTTGGTATGTGGAGCAGCTTTTCTGGCACATCTTTTAACATCCGGATTGCAGTTGGCGTTTGGACTTCTGTATTTATACGTGATGGAGTTTTTAATAAAGAAACATCAAGATAAAGAATTTTACCAAATGGCAACAGGTAAATAACTATATTTTCAACTATTCCGATTACATTCATTTTACCACCACTTTATAAAGACGCACACACTTACCACATTATTTATACAGGGCGAGCTCTTTTAGCAAAAGCTCCTCTTGTTTCCTTTGCTGGTATTTTTCAAATCTCACTAAGTGTCTTCGCTTGTAAAAACAGAAGGGGGCACTGCACCGGTAGCTCTTAATTTGGATTTGCTTTTTTTGTGTTCTTATAGAAATTAAGCAGCAATTTCAGATTTAGGGAGGCGTACGTGTCTTGAGTATAGAAAATTTGAAAATGATCCCGGGTTTTCCGTATCAACGTGATGTTTGACGTTTCCATATAATTCTGCTTCCTTTTGATCAAGATTTTCTTCATAATTTGCTAACAGCTTTCATACCTTAATTTTATTATGCGCGCTTAAATGTAATAGATGTTGCTACACTTTCACGTAATTATCATGCGAATATTCGACGTTGCTTTCCCGCATTAATTGAATTTATATTTCGAAACTTTATTACTGTGGCGTTGGAAGTGCCTTGCGATTTTTCTAGTATGCTATTTATCGATCCTTTTTAACCCGACAGAACGCGCGTTTGGGTTAAATTTACCCAATGCAGTTTGTTTTTCGTATAATTCTTTTATTTCATACTATCTAGTAATCGCCGCTTTGCCAGGCCCATTTGAGTCTATCGTATTTTACCAGACTGGAAAGGTTGCCTAGCAACATCAACTGACATCCATATAAACCTATAATTATATTAATCAATCAATCATCAAACTACTGTCAGATCAAACAAATCAAGTAATCGACTTTTGCTTTCATTTGAATGCGTAGGTACAACATTCTAATCAAAAATTGTATGGCATTTTAATAGAAAAAAGAGCAGTATGAAATAAAATGGTTTACATTATTTGTATGTTAAATCATGATTTACCTACCATACTCATAATGTAAATAACTATATATTACCTATGGTTGAGATGTGCACCCTTCCCTCTTGCTCCGTTGCGCGTGTATGCGGCATGACTTTTTTTTACTTAAATAGTTTTGTATTTATTAGAGTGAAGTGAAATTTAGTATTTTAGAGACGAATAGCTTTATCGTCGCTTTATTTATGACTTCTTCTTTTAATTATGAAAGTAGTAAATCTCTAGCTGAGGTAGAATTGCTTGAATTCGCTGTGGATTTGTGTAACGAAGACAAAGTAATATTTGAAAGTAATGACTCCGAAGTAGATGACTGTGCTGAAACTGTACTCATAGTACTCATTCTGAAGAATCTGGAGAAAAATCTGGTTCTGGAACAGGTACCAAACGTTACCATTGACGAAGAGTTAGAGCCCGCAAATTAATTTGCAAGGAACACAGCTCACCTTTAGGCAACCAATGTCGCCAAAGATTTGAATTTTAATTATGATTTTTTGTTCCAAGATAATAAATATTTAATTTTCTAAACCTGTAATGGACCCCTATGTTGTGCAAATAATGTTTTAAAACCATAAAACTACAAATCAACTGTCTTTTAGGGTGCAATCTGCAAAAGGTAAAAATTACCCGGTACGCGTCCATACGTTTTGAAATAGGGCGCGCGTCCTGACGGGTTAAGGGAAAGCTCTACTATATCGAGATCGAGAACTTGCAACAAAAAGTAACTTTTTTTAAGGGAATTCATGTTGTATTTTTATGTATTTTGGATGGTAGCGAAATTATGGGTATAAAATCTTTGGCACATGGCTACCCTCATTTAATTAATCTTAATAACAAAGCTTGAAAGCATTAAATATTCATTATGACTTAATGCACATTCAGTAATAAATTCGGGAGAATGGAAAAGTGACTTTTGAAAACAAACTGGAACTACAATTTAAATATGCAATCAACTTTTATTCTTCATCAGAACAAAAAGCTATAATTCGTTGTTTACTAAGTGGCATTATGCTAATAGTAAGAATGTAACATGTTAGAATATCTTACACACATTTCTTCTTTGGAGTGGCCAAATTAAATACCTAGCGTCTTCCAACATGAGTTGAAAAATGCGTGAAAAAGTATACGTGAAAGACAGACTAGCATCACTCGATTTAGGCTACAGACCGTTTGCGTGAATTTTTTTGGGGAAAAAAACGAACGGAAGAAAAGGTAGGTATCTTGGCATGTGGAGGAAGGAACTCGAATAACTTTTAACTAGACTTTGGAATCAATATACTCAACCATTTTGTATTCTTGAGTGTTTGTTGTCGACCAGATCGATTAGAGATGCCTATGTCAATAGAATCAGCTTTCCTATGTCAAGAAGTACACAAACATTGTTCGATTTGAGTGAGGCTGTAAAGTTTCATTATTCGTACGAACAGTTTTTTTTAGACAAACCTGACGTTTTGACGTCAATATCCGTGTCAAAAATAATATACTGTACTGTAACACTAGATGAAGATTTCTATGTCACACACCCTCACCCTCACACACGCACACACAAAATATCACCGTTACTGTTACATCATTACAAACATTCGTATTCAACTATCTATATTAATCTACAGTTTGTTTCAGCATGGATGGGAGCGCTCTCTTTGAGTATCTCGTTTTTCACATCCCCCTTCATAGTAGCGGCGTCAAGACGAAAAACGACTCGTTTAGCCGCCGTCTTTGGCGGCCTCATATTTGCATTGGCCTGCCTATTCGCATCGTTCGCCGTACAATTCCACCAAGCCCTGCTGAGCTATGGTCTCGTTTTAGGCGCTGGTGCCGGAATTGTACGCGAAAGCGCCGGTTTAGTGTTAGGCCATTACTTCAAGCGAAGACGGGAATTTGTAGAAATGGTAGCGCAGGCGGGTACTGGAGTTGGTATGGCTTTATTTTCCGTTCTGTATAAGGAGGCTGTGGGGTAACTGTAAATTGCCCTGGTGGTTGTGTGCTAATTTTGTAAGTCTTAGAAAACTGGGGTGGAGATTGGGAATGCAGGCTATAACTGGTCTGTTATCCCTGGCATTCTTTCTTCCCATCGTGTACCGATCTGCTAATCTATACCATCCGCAACGAAGAGCAATAATGCACCTCAAAAATCAAAGAAAGAAAATGAAAGAGAAAAAAACACACTCCAAAGTGAAAAAGCCGCCAATGTTCGACTTTACTCCTTTAAAAAGTAGAGGACTTAGGGTTCTTCTGGTGGCTAGCGCTACTAGTGCTTTAGGGATTTACAGTCCTATATTTTACCTTGTATGTACTTAGGTAATTGTAGCGGTTTAATTCTCTATTACTTTCAGTCACTTCAAGGCCACAAAGAAGGACTGGAAGATAGTGCTTTAGTACTTTTACAAACATTTCTAGGATTTTCATCGGCATTGGGTTTTGTTGGATTTGGACTTGTGATAGTCAGACCTAGCACCCAGTGCTTAATTTCCAGGCAGTATCTGTGCCAAGCATCTATGGTGGGAATAGGTTTACTAGTGAGGATTTGCATGCAAAACTCTTATTTGGGATGTTTACAGGTATTTCGTTATTAGCACTCAGCGTGATTCAAGGTTATCATGGATACGTGCTGTTTGTTTGGTTATACGGAATTTGCTTGGGTGGATTTAGTTACTCGTTGAAAATGTTCACATTGGAAAGGATCCGTTCTAGACATTTCACCAAAGCGTGGGGATTCGTACAAGGTGCCAAATCCGTGCCGGTCCTTTTAGGCGTCCCGATAACTGGGTACATTAATCAAATGTACCCGAAGTGTGGGTACTACATTAGTTTCGTTTCGACTATTGTAGGTGCTAGTCTCATGTTTCTTGTAGGAACTAAAAGTGAACATGTCAATAGTATAAGTAGTAATTGCGATTTAAATTGTAAAGCCAACATGAATCAATGCATTTGCGGCTTGAATAACTCCTACGCACCTGAACTCATTACGCCTTGTAATTTGTACAGGCAAAACAGCAGACACTATGAACGAGTCTTTCCAACCTACGACTTCGACAGGCACAGCTTACACCGTCATTCGTATAAATGTCTAAACGAACCTACTCCGCACTATCTACCCAAAAGTTTGAGTTATGCTGCGAATATTGAGTACTCTGGTCGTTCGAATGTTAAATGTATCAGTCGAAATTCCGATGCCGGCGTGTACAGACATATAAATCAGAATCTGCGACCTACAAGAAGCGTTCCCGAAGGATTAGCCCGCTGGAGTCACCACGGTTCCTATCGACGACCAGTTATTAGAAACCTCCAAGTTATCGAACAAATTACGACATCGGTTTGAACCGAATTTAGGTGCATAATAAAAGTCTGATTCTAAAGCATTTCTTATTAAAGTTAGGTACGCATTTCTGACAATGACCCCAGTTACTTGCAGATAGTTGATATACCCATAGGTACCATAAATACCAGATTTCTAGCAAACAATGAAGTCCGTCATTTCTGCGTGATGCATTTAACAAATCGGTACATTTTGGGTTAGCAGCTTTAACATTTTGTTAAACAATATAGAGTCCGAAATGAACTTCCTAAATGAGAACGTTCGTTTTCTCACATATGTTTCACTGCTTTATAAAAATATACCCCATACAGGGTGTTTAGTCACGAACTGAGTCGATTCTTATTTGCGAAACAATATTAAACTTGTACATATTCGTTATTTTAAATGGGGCAGATCCACTTTTTTAATCTACAAATTTCAATAGAATCATAACGTAAATCAAAAGGTTTTTGAATAATGCGAGTGTTTCCGAAATTTGAAAATGCTAACAAGCTGTTTTTACATGTTTTATTAAGCTTTTGGTATACCTACCCGCAAATTTAAAAATAAATTTCAACATTTCTGTTATTAGTAGCAATAGCCACGACTTTTGCTGATTTATGAATTGCTACTACTTGCTTACTTACTTTATTTTGCCGACTATGATCACGCGTTAGGGCGGGGGGGGGGGGACACCACCATCACTCCGGCCCTGATTATTATCTGTGCAAAGTTCACATTTTCTTTTAACACGATTCACGGGCTCCAGTTTTGTGTTGAATGCAAGGGATTAAACGTTCTAAATCCAATGAACCTATTGAATTTTTTTGAGTTATAGATTTTGCCTAGATCCTACTTTTTGCGCAGCTTATGTTAACAAGGACAATTTTCCTGAAAGGAAAAAGTTTCCGGATGGATAATTAGTTTTCTTTATTCTTCCATCCTCATAAATTCATGTTGCGGATATGTAACAATAATGTAGTTAACAAACGCGTTTTATGCCAAAATGTGGAAAATACTACCATAACATCAGCTGTGTTAATAAATTAAAACGTAAAATTGTGATGTGAGAAAGAAATAATGGGCTGTGACGATAGTGAAGTCAATCAAGGGCGTATTCTATATATTTTTAGAACTACCTATTATAAATAAAAGTTCCTCTTTAGGCGATCGATTTCGACTTTATTAATGTCATCTTCAGGCCGTAGCTAAAATATATATATATCGTGTGTTAACATGTTAAAAATTATGTTGTTTTACCGTTTTATCATATTAAAGAAATGGAGCTCAAAACATAAAGAAGCAATAAGTTTCGAATTAACATTTTATTAGCACTTTCATTTGAATTTGTCTGCTCCTTCAGTTTGCTCAAATTGCTCGGATTTTTCCCTTGTTCATTCTTTTAGATTTCTGTAAATTTCTCGTCAAATTCTTCACAGGCTTTCACATTTTGCAGATGCCTGGAATTGCTAGAATCTTTCGGATTCCTCAATTTTGTTTCAGTTTTTATAAGAATACGAAACGTCACGTCACTTTGGGCACTATTTATTGCCAGTACCTACTCCTGGTACGCCCCTGGTATGTCTGCCTCACCTTGCATATAGTTGTACCACAGATAAAATACCCAAATTTATATTATTGTATTATATTATTGTGATACTATACTTTTATTTGTATCTACACTACACATGAAAGAAAAAACAATTCATATCATCCCATTAGATTCGCGGCATTTGTGGTATTTTCATTAAGTTTAAGATAATGTTTTTGCAAAACCGACTACTATCTCACGTATAAAAGAAATTCACAAGAAAAGCGGGACAAACTTTTTGATCGTAAGTATTCATTTTCGACGGTTTTCGAAAAGGCAATAAATGCAAGCCCAACAAAATTATTTACTTCTGTCACAGATAAAAATCTGTGCTTCTGATGTGGTTTATCTATTTATTGCATATCTTTGCACGGTTATCAAGAAAATTTGCGATCCGATTACACAGATTAAATGTGTGCACGTGCTCGCCTCCATACGCTCCCTTAAGATGAACTATAAATGGCCGATTGCGCCAGCCGTCAAATTGACACAAATTTTAAATTTAAGACTTAAATACAGGTTAAAATCTATAGCAACCATCTTTGATAATGGCACAGCTTACAATTATTAATAATGGTCGCCACACAATTTAAACTGAAATCTAAATCTTTACATAAATTTGATAGTTTAGTTAAGTACTTACCTCAAAATTATAATAGCTTTGACACTACAACAAATTAATAATGTAAGTACCTATACGTCAATGCAAAATAATAAGAACAAGTCACTTTAACATAAATCACACACAATGCAATCACAAACGCAAACACCTATAAATTATAGTTTTATAGACTAAAAGACACGGTTTCGCGGGGCGAGTTTTTTTAAAGTGACATCTACAGAAAAACGCTTGTAACTCCTTCTTTTCATGACCACCATAAAGATTCGTAAAATGGATGTTCATACTAATACTCAGTAGATGGCGCGTTTAAGTATACCAGGATCTTTAACTTAAGTATATTTTAAGTATATTTATGTTACCCATAAAATGTATTGTGGTTAGCAATCTGTTGGGTATTTTATCTGTGGTTGTACTAACAAACATGCAACGGATATCAATATTGTAATTCCCCCTTCATGAAATTGCTTGAAATCTGGTTGATGATGAAAACGATTGTCTTTAATAACTAAATAATTTGTCATCCAGTTCGGGGTATAGACGACTATTAGATAAATTAAGACTGTATTCTCAGTAGTGTACCTAGCTAGCGTTAAGTTGAATATAATAAGGGAAAACAATTTTTCTGAGTCTAGGAAGGTTGTCTCTATCGTAATTTATATTGTTTTATTCACTACTGGCACATTTACTCTGTAAAGCAATAAAAAGGTAGGCTATACGACTACCAATTATGGACTCCAGAAATATAGGATATCCATGTGACGGAAATTGGAAGAGAAACATACAATATTTAAGTATGTTTCGAGAGAATTGCAACTGGATATCAAACAATTTCATTGAATGCCTTTAGCCGCCTTAATAATCGCCTAGTGAATGCTCCAATGTTTTGTAATGCTGGTAGTGAATAAATAATTTTAAATTCTCTAGTCATTTTAAAGTTTGCCAAAAGATTATGCTGTTAGTGAGTTCAAGAAGAATTTAATTAAAACGGGATCAACTATTTGTAAATTTATCAGTGTTTATTATTATAATTTAGGTATAGATGTTAAATCGCCATACGCATCCTTCAGGTTCCTAGATTAATATTAATTACCAGTAGATTAGCCACCTCGTGTCACAAATGAACACCTATGATTTCTTATTAGTAAGTGCATTGTGTTCCTACTTTATAGAATCAATAAACATTAAAACGATCTTTTGCTTGACTATGATACCTCTGATGTGAAAGAGAGGTCGTATTTCGTATTATAGACATGGGTCATCCATGAATACAACAATAGCGAGATCTATTCACCAAGTAGCTGTAACGATCACAAATGGCAATGATGTATAACAAGGGCAATTCTGCAAAACGAATGACTAGTCTCTAGAGATGGATACCAACTTCACCGATATATTATAGCCTGGAAACTCAAAAGGCAGTAAATAAATGCCATCAAACGAATGTGTGTGTTATGTCTCAAAGGTTTTCAAGGAAAAAAAAGACTTTATTTAAAATCTAACTAAGGAATTATTTTGACGTATTAGCATACTGTTTAATTTATGCAATGATCCCGTATCGATCATGACGCGATAATGGGTAACCTTGGCTTTAGAATTTCATTTAGTTAAGCTAAGTTAAGTTACATGACAAGTGTAAATGCAGAGACTGCGTAATGGCACACATTAAACATTATTTTTAAAATTGTAGTCACTCAATCTTAAACATTTTAGTACTAGCGGTATACCAAAAGATACTGCATTTTCTTATACCAAGGTGCCACTTAGTACAATTGTTCCTTAGAGCCATTTAAACGATTTGACCCGAAGAACACTTGACATTTTCCGTGTGGGTAGATTTTAGAGGGGGTGGGGGTGATTTATTGTAACATTTTTTTAAAAACTAAATATGGCCTAGAGACGAGATCTGGGTGTCGATTCCGTATGATTTTAACCCGAGGAACCCAATGGGAGCGCCAGAAATGTAATCCAGATACAGGAAGTCCGTGAAAAACCGCCATTTTTAGAAAATGACAGACTTTTGATCGAATTATATTTCTAAGGCACACCGGGTCGTGTAAGGTGTCTAGACTTATGTTTTTGGAGTCAGGGAATTCATTTATGATAACAAAAATAACCTACTGGCATCGGAACTACATGAGAGGCTTCCCTACTGCACTTATTGAAGACGTCGCACGCGGTGAAACCAAGATATTCCAAAGTTTTAATACCTATATAAATTTGTAATATTTTATTTAATAAAAATACACATTAACAAAACATAAAATATAGTCAAACATGGGGTAAAAAATTTATAAGCCTATGAAGGATCACCAAGTACATCGCTGACCTCCTCTGAGATTGCGTTATCACCATTGAAAAGGAATTTTACACACTAGGTGAATATTTTTTAAAACCGAACGTATAGGAAATTAACGTGAAAAACGTTTTTTGCCGATCGTTGCTCCCCATGTTAACTTAGAGGGTTTGTAATAACACCAATCAGAGATTTTTTTCTCATCTAATGATATACGAATTAGCTTATTTTCAGGTGTATTTCTCATTATTTTATCAAAAATTCGGCAATAAATCCAATTAGCAAAATCATGTTAAGCCATGGAAATTTCCTAACGAATTAATAGTTATTTATGTATTAAGGGCATAATAGTGATGTTTATATTCTCGAGGGCGACGAGTTAAAAAGCTCGAGGGCCTATGAGCTTTTTAGTCGCCCGAGAGTATAAACATCAGTTTATGCCCGTGGTACATACATAATTTTATGCTTTACAAATAGTTTTCTTCGTCAAAATTTATTTACAAAATAATTCATTATGTTTGATCGAGTATGCGTGGTTCGAATTTGTTAATGTGATTGAAACCATCCAAACGTCAAACGTATCTAATTTTAAATAATTCAATTCATCGTGAATGAGCAAGAAGTTCCAGAAACTATACGAAATATGGCCAATCTTGTGATTTAGTAGATATTGACAATTAATAATTGACGTTTCTAATTTTCAATGATCTGCAAATATTTGTTTGTTTTGTCATTAAGTATAAATGGGTTACTGTGGTGATACTTAATGCCCTAGGGCATAAAGTGGTACTTTATGTCCGCGTATCACAGATATTAGTCCAAGAGCCCAGTAGGAAAGTATACCTTGAACGCCCGGACGATTCTAATAATTTTCATTGGATTCGCCATAAAAAGTTGTATTAGAATCGACAACGGTGCCGGCGAAAATCCTGCCGAAAGCAATTAAAAAAAATTAACTTCGCCCCTTATTTTTGGAAAATGTACTTTATTGTCCCGGATGTTCAGGAAGAGTACTAAAGGGTGCATATGTTAAAACTGTGAAAATCCAGTTCACCCTAAGTTGAGCATGACCACTCCGGCACACCTCTTGTGGTTAGGGACTCCTCGGTTCCTTGAAATATACATATTTTCAAACGTCTTAAACCAAGTTTCAACCACTTCGCAATTTTCTTGTCTATTTTGGACAATTTGCCTGTACTACAAGGCGGAATGGTACACGAATCAAATCCTCTGATTTTCTTGACGAGTTTCTCAGAATCTTTTCTTGTCGAGAATATTTTGTGGAACATATTTGATCTCGCGGTATCCACGCTGTTACATTTTTTCACCGAATACATACTTAAGTGACGTAAATTCTTGAAATTTTTCAATTTTCGCAATGTCAATAGGTTCGCGCGCGCCCGGATTCCATCGACGGTGCCGAGGACTCCCGGCATCCTGAGAGTCGGCACCGTTGGTTTTTTATATTCGTATAATCGCAAGCTACATATTTCATATAGGTCATTTTGGTCCGGGAGAAAAAGGTAGTTTAGTACGATTTACCATCCCATTTGTAGTCGCGGTGCCAAGGGTTGCGGCAAGTTGCGCCCCGGCACCGTGACTTTTTCCGATAAAACTCATCCATATGCACCCTTTAGTACCTACTCTTCCTGAACGTCTGGGACAATCAAGTACATTTTCCAAAAATAAGGGGCGAAGTTAATTTTTTTTTAATTGCTTTCGGCAGGATTTTCGCCGGCACCGTTGTCGATTCTAATACAACTTTTTATGGCGAATCCAATGAAAATTATTAGAATCGTCCGGGCGTTCAAGGTATACTTTCCTACTGGGCTCTTGGACTATATAAAATGTGCTATGATAGGTGAGTAAGACATAAAATAGGTGAGTAAGACCTTTGAATAATTTTATATTCAAAGGTAAGACATAAAATAGGTTTTCACATGCACGGAAAACAAATATCGCGTACTAGAGTAAATATTTCCGCTGTAAACGTTTATTCTAAATACTTTCTTCTCAGTGAGCCGAATTTTACAAAAAAATTAATGCCAGGTGTCATAAACTGATATTGATTTCGACGTTTGAATCTGCTTTTTGTCTTAGTCATGGCTAAATATGATTTTGGTAAGTGGATTTCTCCAGTTTTTGATAATATAGTGAGAAATACACCTGAAAATGAACTAATTCGTATATCATTAGACGAGGAAAAAATCTTCTTTCGATTGGTGTCATGATCAACCCTCTAAGTTAACATGGGGAGCAACTATATACAAAAACCCCGTTTCCCATGTTAATTCCCTATGTTCGTTTTGGGAATATTCACCCGGTATTAAAGGTTCAGTAGTAAATTAGGGTAGGTATATCCGAAAGTATACAATATTCTTACCCTTTGTTTGAGCAATCTCCCATACATTTTTGGCATGCAGGGGAACATGGCAATCCGTGTCGCCGGCAGCTGCACCGAAGGGTCTCGCAGCCTGTCGCGCAGCCACACCTGTCCAGAGCACGGACTGCCTTCCATACTTGTGGCAGCTTGGACTACAGAACCTTCCAGCCTTTGGCTTCAAGAGTCCATCCCCATCCTTCTGGACTTGTAGAGCTTCTCATCACCTGGTTTGCACATCCCCAGATATGGCCAGCGACATACGCCGCCCTCCTTATGTGCTCCTCCAACTCGTGCTGCGGCGACACGGATTACCATGTTCCCCTGCATGCCAAAAATGTATGGAAGATTGCTCAAACAAAGGGTAAGAATATTGTATACTTTCGATATAATTTACTACCTACCGAACCTTTCATATTTATATGTAAAATTCCTTTTCAGTGGTGATAACGCAATCTCAGAGGAGGTCAGCGATGTACTTGGTGATTCTTCATAGGCTTATACATATGTATTTTTATTAAATAAAATAATATAAGTTTATATATTAAAACTTTGGAATATCTTGGGTTTCACCGCGTGCGACGTCTTCAAAAAGTGCAGTAGGGAAGCCTCTCATCCAGTTCCGATGCCAGTAGGTTATTTTTGTTATCATAAATGAATTCCCTGACCCCAAAAACATAAGTCTAGTCACCTTACACGACCCGGTGTGCCTTAGAAATATAATTCGATCAAAAGTCTGTCATTTTCTAAAAATGGCGGCTTTTCACGGACTTCCTGTATCCGGATTACATTTCTGGCGCTACCATTGGATTCCTCGGGTTAAAATCATACGAAATCGACACCCAGATCTCGTCTCTAGGCCATATTTAGTTTTAAAAAAAATGTTACAATAAATCACCCCCACCCCCTCTAAAATCTACCCACACGGAAAATGTCAAGTGTTCTTCGGGTCAAACCGTTTAAATGGCTCTAAGGAACAATTGTACCAAGTGGCACCTTGGTATAAAAAAATGCAGTATCTTTCAAGAATTTCCGTTATACCGCTAGTACTATTTTAGCTGGTTTGGTTTCTAAGGGTCAAAATCCACGAGGAAAAAAGCCTTTTCCCGGTCGATCTCAGACAAATCAATTTTCTACATGAATATAGAGTGACTGAAGAGACAGTGAAATCGGCTTGTCTAAGATCAAGTGGGAAATATTTTTTCTTATACATTGTGGCCTGTAGAATCCAAAACGACTGGAATTTTCGTGTTTGCAGGACTACCTCTATGGATATAAGCAAAAAGCCGATTTCCAAAAGAAAGGAAAGGGTTATACCTATAACATTTGACTACAATTTTTTTGATTCAACGACTAAATAAAAATTTATAGGGAGAAGTATACAGTTTGCCTTTTCCTTCGAAATGGTTTTTTTTGGACATAGCTTTTGATGTAGTTCATCAATCCTTCAATGTTTTTTCTGGTTAGCAATAATGCTTCACAATATGCAGTGTGTCCCAGATCGGGTAGAATTGCATG